ACTCATTACCCTTTCTAAAAACACGCATAATTGATAAAAGCTTGTATAACATATTCTCCTATGAATAGATTCTACTCAGTATTTGCAGCACGCAATTCTGATCTCTAAAGTTGGAAAAGGTCAATGATCATTGTCACATATCTACAATCACACACATCATTAATTATGCATCCAAAATAAAAGATGAGGTAACTAGTTCATATAAGAATGTTTACGATTAAATCAGTAACATCAACAACGCCAATGATGCCACGACCATTATCTCCATTATGAACCATACTTCCAACTCTCTTGTAAGCCTACAAATTAACAAAATAGAAACTAATTAAACAGACAGCTGGTTTAACCTGTGACGATTTAAGGAGGGGGGAAATGACCCGGGTGGGGGGGGGGGGGGGGGATATCTGTGACATAGGGAGAAAATGTGAGCACAGATTAAATGTAGTTCCTATTATCCAGTAGATACTCCTCAATCCCAACCTCATTCCATGCGAGATAAACCAATAATGAGAATTTTTTCCACATGAACCAATGGTTCCACATAAACAATACATTTTCTCCCTATGTCACAGATAATAGAAACAAAAGAAGCTGCATTGACATGAGAGGTTGCATAAGAATATTGAAATAGCTCTGACAACCTTCAGTGGAAAGGATCAGTTTCTAGTATTCATGCATAATCATAAGTTAACTTGATCTAATTATAAACATAATATTTACCATTCCTTACTAGGTATAATGAAGGCTAGTCTAATCTGTGGATTTTCATAGTTAATTACTGTGGTGTCAGAAGGTCCAAAGATGGGTAGTATGTCTTAATAATTATTCTTTGTATGTAGGAGATTTTCATAGTAAGGCAGAGTATAAGAACCACACTTAGTGGTTCATCTCTTGAATGGCAGGAAGTTCTACGATAGGTCACATGATATGTCCTTAACCTTGCGGTGTGAGGAGAATGAAGATGAAAAAAGCACTTTAAATATCGAAGTGAAATCAAATTTAGAAGGTACCTCAATGAAAAGTGAAGTATCTCATAAGACAAGTAATCCATTAATGTACTTCGCCATCTTAAAGGAAACCAATTCGTATTCCATGTGATTCTCGTCATTTTAAAATTTAAAATTTCCATTATTGCCCTGTGGTCGAACAATCTATTTGCAGTAACTTCAAATTTCATTACACGCATCCTACTTCTCTCTGAACTTTTTTGTTAGACAAATGATCCGTGCCCTCATTTCATGCCTGATTCAATTAAAGCATTATTTTTCACTAAGTACCAATCAATTGAGAATTATGTAACTTCATGATGATCCCAAGCGTCGGGTAAAAAAAAAATTGGTAATTTAATAGATTTACAGTCCTGAAAGAAAGTAATAAGCAAGATTAAAGACAAGTTTATAGAGTAAAAGCCATAAACAGTGACAAAAAATGGAAAACAAAAAATATTATCAAGAAGTTATGCCAAACATATACCCAACCTAAATTTAGGAACTATCTCTTGTACCTAACAAGTTCAAATTAAAATGCATGCTTATTAGTTTCAACTTATCACACACAGTTGAAACTCAATTCAAATGAAGCATAAAGATGAAAAAAATCTAGTCGATGCACTACAAATATCACCAAGATAGAAAAGCAAAAACATAAAAACCAACAAGATGCAGTTTAGTTAATTTTGTGGAATATTAAGCAAAAAGAGTATCAATAACAAACACATTGCAATCATATGTCAGATTCAGGGATAGGTTTTAGTTCAAAACATTCAAAAACTAAATATGAGGCCATTGGATTAAACACAATGTTACACATTCAATTCTTTCTTCATTTAGTTAAGAGCAAGGAAAGCAACAAGGAAAACCGCATTCTCACCTCAATTAAACGCCCATGCCAATATAGAAACATTCCACAATTTGCTTGCTCCCATTCTAATTGAGAACGGCCAAGAGTAAGTTGAACTGGTCTTCCCATGACAATGCCATTTTCAATGATAGTGTTGTTTAGAGATTTTGCCAGGGGTCGACATTTTACCTATTAAGAAATAGCATATTGACAGTGCAATCTTCTCAAAGGTGCACAGTTGGTAAAGGCATTGGAAATTTTTTGAAGCACGCAGAAAGCCTTGACACATTGAGAATTGCCTACCCCAATTTGATTTTTATTTTCTTAACAAATGGAATATGTAGAAAAGTAATGAAAATAAATTAATGCCAGACTGAATTTAATGACATAGGTAGACAACATAATAGCACTTGCGAAAAGAAAGGATCAAATTGAATGAACAAAATTAGTATCAGACCCAAAATATGGAGTACAAAATTCTAAACTACAATCAAGCACAAGTGCACGGAAACCAAATAATAAATAATTTCTAGTCTGGGACAAGAGAAAGAAAAATATCCAAATTGATAAATATTAATCAAAAAATCATCTCAACATTTATATATGGCATGATTTTGGATTATTCATAGCCACAATTAATGTCTAAATTCAACCTTTTTTAATTAGCTCAACAGTGTCTATATAATGAGAGGAACCCACACTAATGTGAGGCATTCAGTGTAATTGACCTGGTATCAAAGCCTAAATCATTCAAATTTGGGTTGTGAGTTGAGTTTTCAGGGTTGAGCCCAGACTGGGATGTTGCTCCCTCTGGTTGTCCGTAACTTCAGGGAGGTTATTGGTAATTTCTGGTAGCTGTTGGGGGTTCTAAACTACTATTCGGCAGTTTCTATTGAAGGTACTAGTGGCTATCTGCAAAATCTGCAGCTATCGGCGAATTTCGCGAGACTCCTCTTGTAGAAACAGGTTTGTAGTGGTTCTGATTTGCGGTGGAGTGCTGCTGATGACTTCATAGGCTTCGTAGCCTACTGCCTAGTACTATTTAGGCTTGCTGATAGGCTTGTCGTGTGTTGCAGTTTGCTGTTTCTACTATATTTGTTTCATCATGTCTTCTAGTGAATCTTTCGGGGTCTACTTTACCGGGAAAAAATTACTCGGCTTGGGAGTTCTAGTTTCAATTGTTTGTTACAAAAAGGAGATGTAGGGCCATATCGATGGTAGTGATCCGACTTCTAAGGAGTCTAAGGAATTAGCTTAATGGAAGGTCAAGGATGCACATGTGATGTCCTGGATTTTATGGGTCTGCAGATCCTCTTATTGTGCTCAATTTGAGGCCCTAAAAGACTGGAAAGACAATATGGGAATATTCGTTGAAGGTTTATCACCAGCATAATACTACACGACATTTTTAGTTGGAGTATGAGATTGCTAGTTACATTTGAGGCAATCTTTCAATTCAAGAGTATTTTTCTAGTTTTCAGACTTTATGGGACGAATTTTCTAATATGATGGATATGAAGGTACCTGCGACAACTCTCCCTCTCTGCAATTCAGGATGTCATGAGCAGATCAAGAGAGATCAATTCCTAATGAAATTGCGTCTTAAATTTGAGGTTACTCGCTCAAATTTGATGAATCAAGATCCTTCTCCATCAATAGATGTATGTTTTTTGAAATTACTTTGCGAGGAGCAATGTCTTCGTACATAAACTACATTTCAGCAAGATTCTAGAATTTCCAATCTTGATCCAGTAGCCTATGCAACCTATGGGAAAGGGAAGGGTAAGGATATGCACAAAGTCCAGTGTTTCAGCTGTAAAGAGTATGCTTGCCACCAACAGTATAAAGAAACCTTGCAACTATCGCGAAACAGGGCCATTTTATCAAGGAATGCTCGACTCGGCCTCAAAATCATCAAGCTGATGCTTATCAGGCTGCAGTGAGCACTTCTGCTTCAGTGAGGCTGGCCAATCTGCTCTTACTCCAGAAATGGTACAAGAAATTATAATATCAGACTTTTCTATCCTAGGGCTCCAATGTAATGTTACTACTTCGTATAAATCTTAGCTCGTAGATATTGGTGCATCTAATCGTATGATTAGTTCATCTAGTGCTCTTGGCAACGTTCGTCACTATCATTATTTATTTCATATTCAGATTGTTAATGGGAGTCATCTAGCTAAAATGAAGTTCGTGATATTCATTCTTCTTTCAAAGATACATGTGTATGGGGTCATTTCTCTGTATTTGATATTATACATAATGATGTACGGGGGCATTTCTCCAATAATTTCTCATAGAAATTGATATAGTACATCACAACTACAATTGATAGTTTCACTTTATCTAGGAGTTGTCTTTTTTAAATTATCTTTTCTAATTTCCTTTTTTAGTTGTAATA